TTGTCATTGTATTTAGGGCCCACCCTCACCCGAGATGAACTCATTTCAAGATCCTTAAGTAGGTGTACAAAGACTTTTTTTCTGAATGAGATTACTTTTACATGTTCTGGATGAACATATATTTTGGGGAGGACAACCTTCAATCCAGTATAAGTGGTATATATTAGGTACATGTATGTATATGACAGTTGTACCTTATTATTTGGCTGATTATAATATGCCATTATTTTACATACATGTATATACATTAATATATAAAAATATATACATACATATACACAAATGTATATAAATGTATATATCCCATGTCATGCCATGGGTGAGGTAGGCAGCAGGGGGAGTTGTTACTTGGGAGTTGGAGTGTCTGTAGGGAATTTAAAGACAATAAACTCTAAGAATCAGTCTGCTTTTTATTATCACTATGTTCAGGCAATTTTAAATAATGTCACAGTTAAAATACTTATTAAAATTATCTTTTGTTGGTCTTGGTACAAAGTAATTACCGCAGGTATTGTTGAGTATTAATAATGAACTTGTAAACTTCAAATTAACATGACTTGTTGCTTATCATTTAACAAAGATTGTATTTTACATAGAGGTTAATTCAGAAAACTCCCAATACTATTATCATCCCACAATACAGATAAACTTATTTATACATCTTTGTTTTGAGAGTAAGTTTATAATTATTCTAAATCATTAGAACTTGTATCATGTGCAATTCAGGTCTGTAACTCTTGGGGCACTATGTATTACTTCATTTAAGCAATAGATTATAGGGACGCCTGAGTGGCTCAGTCAGCTAAGTGTCTGCCTTCAGCTCAGGTCATGATCCCAGGGTCCTGGGATTGAGTCCCATATCAGAATCCTTGCTCAGCGGGGAGCCTGCCTCTCCCTCTGCCTGCTGCTCCCCCTGCTTGTGCTCTGACAAATAAATAAATAAAATCTAAAAAAAAAACCAACAGATTATAAATAAATGATGATAACACAGTCATTGTAAAGAACAAACAGAATTTATATAATACTAATTCTGTTATCATATGTGACCACTTAGGGTTTTTGTATCTGTGTAATAACTGTTTAATAAGAACAACAAAGCAATGTTATTATTATTGATCTTTTATTTATTTATTTATTTTTAAAGATTTTATTTATTTATCGGGTGCCTAGGTGGCTCAGTTGGTTGGGCGACTGCCTTCCGCTGGGGTCGTGGTCCCGGAGTCCTGGGATCGAGTCTCATGTTGGGCTCCCAGCTCAGCAGGGAGCCTGCTTCTTTCTCAGACCCTCTCCCCTCTCATGGTGTTTCTCAATCCGAGCAGGGAGCCCGATGTGGGCCTTGATCCCATGACCTGATCTGAAGGCCGATACTTAACCACTGAGCCACCCAAGCGCCCCTAATTCTTGATCTTTTAAAATTTGGGGGGGTGCGGGGAAGGGCTCAGGGAGAGGGAGAGAGAGAATATTAGGCAGGCTCTATCCCCAGTGCAGACTTGGGGACTTGATCCCACAACCCTGAGATCATGACCTGAGCCAAAATCATGAGTCAGAGGCTTAACTGACTGAGCCACCCAGGTGCCCCTAATTATTGATCTTTGGATTTGATTTACTGTTCATGGAAAGGCAAACATTGTTACTAAGGGTACATTCTCTAGAACCAAACTGCCTGTGTTTGATCTTAACTTTATCACCAGCTAGCTGTATGATCATAGGCAAGTTACTTAAACTCTCTGTGTTAGTTTCATCATCTTTTAAATGTGGGTAAAAATAAAATAAAATAATAAAATATGGATTAATAAAAATACTTTAGATAATTTTGGTAGGATTTAATGAATTATCACACATATTACAGTTAGAATTGTACTTATAACACAGTAAGAATTTGATACAGTCTAGCTTTTATTACTATTAATTCATATTATTAATTCCCAACTAGCTCAGTGGTACATGAAGAAAAAAATTTTTCATAAAAATATCTTTAATGTAAAATTAATGCATATTATTTTAATACAAAAAGAAAATTACTGTAATACAAAAAGAAAAGATTTGGGGCACCTAGGTGGTACAGTTGGTTAAACAAACAACTCTTGGTTTTGGCTCAGTCAATCTCAGGGTTGTGAGATCAAGCCCCAGGTGGGCTCCCTGCTCAGGGCAGAGTCTGCTTAACATTCTCCCTTTCCCTCTGCCCCCCTCCTTCTATCTCAAATAAATAAATAAAATCTTTTAAAAAAAAAAAGATTTAATGCAGGCACCTGGGTGGCTCAGTCCTTAAGCATCTGCCTTCGGCTCAGGTCATGATCCCAGGGTCCTGGGATCAAGTCCCGCATCGGGCTCCCTGCTCAGCGGGAGGCCTGCTTCTCCCTCTCCCACTCCCCCTGCTTGTGTTCCCTCTCTCGCTGTGTCTCTCTCTGTCTCTGTCAAATAAATAAAAATCTTAAAAAAAAAAAAAGATTTAATGCTTGGAATCAGTCCATAAAATGAAGAAGCTGGGACAAAATACACTTGAAACCAAAATTTACTTTTGGAAAGTGGCTTAGTACTCTAAAATCATGATCCAAGTATTACACAGTATATCATAAGCACAGATCAAAACATTTGTGGAGGTGAAGGACAAGTGAGAAAAGAGACTGAGGGAATTGATGCTTATCTTAACAAACAATTGCCAAAAAAACAAAAGTGTATTTTAGGCTATAAAAAGAGAAACTAGGGAAGAAGGAAGAAGGATGGAGAAGCTTAAATGGCTGACTGGCTTTTCAGTCTTTTTCCCCACTCTCCTAATAATATTTAAGATGAATGCTGTGATTTCCTATAGAACTTTCTGTAATGATAGAAATATTTTGTTATCTATGCTGTCCAATATAGCAGCTATTAAGAGTGCGAGAGTCTAAGGAACTTATTACTGATGATAAAGATTCAAAGGCAGGCAATGTGGCTCCAGAAAACATACTCTTGGTCACAATGTCTATCTGCCTTTCCATGAGCAGTAAGTCTTTAATTATCAAAATACCCATAATAAATAACATTGTCTTGTTATTTATCAGTGTCACAATTTTTTTATTTGGACGTTACAACATCCTAAATTATTCAATTACAAAATAGCAAGCAAGGTTGGAATGAGGATGGTCATGGATTTGTAATTAGAATGAATCTCAACTTCTACTGGTTTACGTTCTGTAAGTGGCATTTAAACTGTTCAACATGTTTTTGCTGAGTTGATTAATTCATTAAAAACCTCATGTTCATCATCATCGTGCAAAACTTTAAATTGTAACATCACACGTCTATTTATTAATAGGCAGTGGTGTTAGATAATCATGATATTGAGAAGTCTAATTTATCCATCCATTATTTCCCCACCATCAATTGTAATCCCACTAACAACCACTAGGGTGAGACGAAAAAGGCCTCACTTTCATCTTTACATGGAATCTTGGAAATTGCACAGCACCATGACGTGCGCCGAAGACGTAGGTGTAGACGATGAACAAAAGAGAAGCCCCATCGTCGATGTGGCTTCCCCGGGCACGCCCGCCCCGGGGCGCGCCGCAACACTCCACACCTTCGCTCGGCTCCCCGCAACCGGGCCGGCCCTGGTTGGGCGAAGCGATTGAGCAGACTGTGGAGTGGAGTCTCCATCAACCGTTGAGGACCAGGAGATGGTGGAAGGCAGTGGAGAGGCTGGGTTAGAGGCTGGGGGAGGGCAAGGGAAAGAGGCTGCGGAGGAGGACGACGGCAGCGCCGAAGGACACACCGAGGGGAGGCTCCAGCCCCTCCAACAGGCGGGAGCCTAGCTCCAGGGGAGCCCGCAGCTTCCTCCATCTTGGTTGATGGAGGCGGGGAGCGGCGTCTGGGTCTCTCCACCGTGGCGCCCGTCCCCCAAGGGCCCCTCAGGCGCAGACGCTGGAATCAGGGGCTGTCCCCTCGGCCGAATGGCGGAGCCCAGTTGGGGCTTCGCGGGGCCAAGTTTCCCTGCCCCACGGGGTTTGGTTTTGAATTGGTCCCAAGTTCCCACAGCAGTCCCGACAAAATGGAGGACGTCGTCTCCTCCTGCAGCCATGACGGGAGGTGGGGGGACAATTCCCCACGGGGGTGAGGCGAGGGTGGAAGTGTTCCCACTCCCCTCAGCACATTCGGGAACCCACTTCACGCGCTGCCCCGACCTCCCACTTTGCCTCGCTCCAGCCCCTGCCCGGGCTCGCCCCTCACGGGGGGCTTCAGGAACTGGACAGGGAGGGCGTTGGGGACATCGAGGCCCCGTCTCTCCTCGGGCAGGGTCATTGGGAGCGGCTCCAGGGGCCTGGGCGCCCAGGTCCGAGCTAGGGCAGGCGGCCACGGCCTCAGTCTCTCGGGCTGTATCGGGCCCTAGAGGGCCCCCCCGGGCCCCCAGGCACCGAGCCGGCGGCCGGTGCAGCGGACAGCGAAACTCGGGCCGCCTGACCCTGACGGACCCGGGGGTGGGGGCGGGGTGGGAGGCGGGGGTAAGGAGGGGAGGGGACGCGGCCGAGGGCCGAGCGCTGGCGGAGGGGGGAGTGGAACGGCAACGCCGGGGGGTGTGGTCTGCGCCTGATGGACAGCCCTCCGGACCACCCCCTCCAGGGGGGGTCCTGAAGGAAGGCAGATGTAGCCAATGGACGTGCCCGAGGCGCCCCGGCCCGCCCTCCCCGCCAGCCAATGAGGGTGCGGCGGGCGGGGCCTTCCCGGGCTCGGACGCGCCGCCGCCTCCTCCGCCTCCTCCTCCTCACCAGCGCTAAACCCGGGACTGGACCGAGTGGAGTTGTGCGTGTTGCCGAAGGGGGGTGGGCCGGGGGAGGGGAGGTTCGTTCCGCGGAGCCGCAGCCAGAACCGGGTGAGGCTTATCCCCGCTGTCTTTCCAGTCCAGGTCCGCCGATAGTGGGGGTGGCTGGGAGCAGCGCAGCCTCGGGAGGAGGAGGCGGAGGCGGAGGCGACTGGGGAGGCGGAGATGGGTGAGGGCAGCCTCCGGAGCCTCCCACCGACCCGGGATTAATACCCCGCGGCGCGGCCGCCGTCGCCGCTGCCGCGTCGGGGCCTCGGGGGCTGCTCCGGCTCCGCTCATGTCACAGGCGTCTTCGCGTGCGGCCCGAAGGGCTGCGAGAGTGAGGGCGAGGCCGGGAGGGCTGGGTGAGGCGGACGCCAGAGGCGGGGGGTCGCTCGGGGGGCGGGGGCTGCCCGGGCCGGGAGGGTGGGAGGTCGCGGGGTATTTTTCCTTTCTTTCTTGCGGGGGGGGTGGAAAGGTGGGGGGAGGGGCGCCTCAGTTCGTTCTCGCGCTCTCGGGGCTGCGCTCCCACCGTCCCTGCGGTAGCCTGAGGTCCCCAAGTTCTTCGGGGCGAGGGTGCTGCCTCTTCCCCCACTCGGTCCCTTCCGTCGCTCTTCTCTTCCCTGGGCTGAGCTGCGCGGCTCTTGCTCCTCACGTATTGTTTGGCTGGGTCTCTAATGGCGGACGGGGAGGCAGCGCTGCCGGTCGCCGACTGCAAGGGGGGGGGGCAAGTCTCGGGCCCAGGGCAACTGCTTGGGGCAAATATGGGAGATAGCAGCCTGGCGGTGACGTGAGCCGCCCCTTACCTCCGAATTGGTACCGGGAGTGACGGGGATGACGCTGGGTGGGCAAATTTAGGAGGGAATACAATTCCCTTGCTGGCGTCGAGGCAACGTTTGCCCTTCCCCCCCCTCCCGCCCCTTCCCAGTAGCAGGCTTAGTGCCCTCCAGCCTCCTCCCTCCAGATTTTGCCTTTCACGTGGGTTTTGGTCCCAGATATATGTTTTGCGTGGTTTTTCTCTACTTTACGTAGAAGGGGATTGTTGGTCGCGGGCTGGGGAGTAATAATAGAAGGGCCAAACCTCCTTGACCTCTTATTCCCTTCTCGGCTTCCTCCTGGTGGAAAGGGCTTGGTTCTCACACCTGGTTGGATGTTCTTGATCCATTTTTCATTTTTCCTCTTACCCCAGGACCAGGAATCGCCTTCAACCCTATCTGGTGCATCTTTGGCAGAAAGTGAGGAAAACACCCCCATTGTGAGTCCTTCGCCCCTAATTTGTTGATCTTAGAGGACGTTGTCAGGTTGTAGAGGTTCAACCATGGGACTTATCTATCCCCGTTGTTTTGAGGGGGAGGAGCTTTCCCTTGGGTGGCAGCTGCCCCCGGGGTGAAGCCTGGGTAATGGCTGGTGAGGCAGCTGGGAGTGGGCGCTGCTGTTTCCACCGCTGCAGACATCTCTCCTGCTGCTGCAATACCAACCTCAGCAACCAGACGACGGGCTCCTGCAGCTGCTCACGTTACCCGGGAGGAGGGGTGGTGCAAAGGAGGGCATATTTCTGGTGCCCTCTAGAGTTCCAAAGTGGGAATTGAAGTTATTTAGTTTTAAATGCTATGCATGCAACCATCTCTAACACTTTTTCTTTCTTTACAATGGATAATTGATTGTAGGTTTTGGAAAAATAGAATCATTTAACTTTTTGTGTCTGATTTAAGACTCTTGGGGTTCAAGAGTTGGTAGATCTCTACATGACTTTGCTTAGGAAAGGGCATGAAGTCCACTCTTCTAGTGCTCTAGTTTATCCAACTAGGTAACTAGCTACTGTGCTGATTACACTACTCTACTGCTCCAGATAATCTCTTAGTCGTCCCATCTTCTGTGTTGATTAGTCTTCACTTGAGTCATTCTTGAATGTCACCTGAGTTATTGTTTAATGCTTGTAATTTGTTGGTTTTAAGGAACAGTCTTGTAATATGGTAGACCATAAAATAAACATAACCAGTCAAAATTTTTGTCAATTCAGATTAGTTACAAAGTATCAGTGAAGCTAGCACTCTGGACACAGTGTATTTCCTGAGCTCTGGACACATTGTATCTCACTGACAGTTGATATTGTAACTTGTAGCTCTTTGTCAGAGGTGAGTCATAAATATAGTAGCTTATGCTTAAATATTAAGTCCCAAATGGATCAAAAGATAGTTAATAGATGATGAATATTTGCTGAATACTGATCTGAAAGATGATGTGAGGATGGCAACTTGTATTTTAATACACAACATTCTAGGCACAATGCAAGGCACTTTCATGTATTATTTCCTTTAGTTTTAGCAAGTAGCCTGCAGAGTAATAAAAGTAGCACATGTTGAGCCCTTACTGTATGCCAGCACAATTCTAAGTTTTAAAAAAAATGTTTATTATGGAAACTTAAATTTATGAGTGAGGACAGTATGCTGAACCTTTGTGTACCTGTCATTTACATTCTATAATTATCAACACATATCCCAACTGATTTTTAATATGAATTAAGTAATAAATCCTCACAAAATGAGGTGTGGTAGTGTGATATTGTGAGAGACCAGTGATGCATGTACTGTTTTTATTTCTAATTTGTAGAGGAAGAAACAGAGGCATAGGGAGGTACCAGGAGGTAATAATAGTATCAGACAAGCAGTGTCATCAAAGTGCCTGAGTGCAGCAACTATGCTGTCCAGTTTTAAAGTACATAATATACTGGCTTTACACATTTGGAAATTGGAACAGTGAAAAAGCCAAGGTTAGAATCTTCTCAGCTTATGTTATATTCCTAGAGAACAGGTAAATAGATAGCAAATGTTTGAGTCTTACTGAGTACCTTTTTAAAAAATAATAGAATCACAGTTATCATTAGATTATTTTACTGCCTTATTCAAAAACTGTCTATTTGAGGGGCTATGGGGTGGCTCTGTCAGTTAAGTATCTGCCTTCGGCTCAGGTCATGACCTAGGGTCTTGGGATTGAGCCCCACATTGGGCTCCCTGCTCAGCGGGGAGTCTACCTCTCCCTCTGTCCTCCCTCCCTCCCGCTGGGGCGCGTGCATGCACTCTCGCGCGCGCTCTCTCTCTCTCTCAAAAATAAATAAATAAAATCTTAAAAAAAAATGTCTATTTGTATCAGAAGTCATATATCCTTTTTCAATATGCCTGTGTTAAATCAGAGTCTATAATTGTTTCTTAAATACTGCAACTTGAATGAATATAACTTGTCTGATGAGTTTAAAGGCTCTTTTCAGGTAGTAAGTCATAGATATAATGGATCAAGGATCAGATCTTTCACATAGAGGGGCAATGCTTATTTTATCACCACATATTTTCCCAAAAGATTTAACTTTCTCAGATTTTTTTTCTTTGTTCTTAATTGTGATGTTGATGAGGGAAGGCTGGTAATTGGTTATATTTAATAGACATTTGGAGAGGAGTTCATACAAAATGTATAACCAGGACTGTCTGTAATGTCAACACATATATACTAATGAAAGCCATGGTTCTTTCTGATAACATCAAAATGTGGTCCTTGTTATGCTTAATGATTTAGCTCAGAATTTAAAATTCCTTTGCTTAAAAAGACTGACTAATGGTTCTTTAATGTGCCAGACAGTAAGATGAGGATAACCTGATGATTTAATTGACCTTGACTAAATAAGTTCTTTATTATACTTATTATTGCGCACTTAATGTGAGTTAGGTGCTTTTATGTGTACATACGAAGTGTTTCAGCAGTTAAAAATACTTTGTATATTTATGGCATCTTTCTTTTTTTTTTTTTTTTTAAAGATTTTATTTATTTAACAGAGAGAGACATAGCGAGAGCAGGAACACAAGCAGGGGGAGTGGGAGAGGGAGAAGCAGGCTTGCCGCCAAGCAGGGAGCCCAATGTGGGGCTCGATCCCAGGACCCCGAGATCATGACCTGAGCCGAAGGCAGACGCTTAACGACTGAGCCACCCAGGCGCCCCCTTCATAGGGTTTTTGAGAGGATAATGTGTTATTATTCACAATGAACACAGACAATTCCTGACACTATAAATACTCTACAAGCAATTTGTTAAGTAAAACTGTAAAATTGACTTAATTTATCAGGAGTTCACTTTTCTTCACAATGGTAGAATATTATTAAGATTTTTGATTGCTATAATATGATATCAAATATCATTCAGCATAAGCAAATTGTTAAAAGTCAAACATGCTAAAACTAACAATTTTTAATATTATTTTTGTTTAGTTACGTTAGAAGCACTCTACTCAGGCATACTATTTTTATGTAGCAATGTTGAGCTTCTCTCAGTTTTTGTTCCTTTTCCCACTGAAAATTTTCCTCAGTGCTTCAATGATTAAAATATTGCTTTTTTCCCCTTTTCAATGGTAAAAGTTAAAATGTTAGTCTACATTAGCTCTCCAATCCCCAGCCCCAAAACAATCCTTCCTTCGGAACTTCTTATCTCCTACTATCCATACTGGGGAGATGAGATGTACTATGAGATTATACTGAGTTCCTTTCCGAGAAAAAAAAAAAGACATTGATTTGAAGTACATTTCTTCCAAGATTTGCAATGATGATAATGACTATCATGATCATGTTTTTTTGGATTACACACTAGCATAGTATTGATGGTAGAGATATCAGTATGTTTCTCTTCCTCACAAAATATTATAAAGAATTTAAAAAATATCCCACTAAGTCAGTTATCAATAATAAAAACAGGTAATGTTTTTGAGGTCCTAATAAGTATGAGGAGGTTTCACATGTGTATGCCCACTGAATCCCCCCCACCCCGAAACTCTGTGAGAGTGAAATTATTGTCTACATTTTATACATGTTAAAACTTAGGCTTAGAAAGTGTTTTTTTTTTTTTAAGATTTTATTTATTTATTTGACAGAGAGAGAGAGAGCATGAGCAGCAGGGAGGAGCAGAGCCAGAGGGAGAAGTAGACTTCCCACTGAGCAGGGAGCCTGATGTGGGACTCCATCCCAGGATCCTGGAATCATGACCTGAGCTGAAGGCAGACGCTTAACCAATTGAGCCACCCAGGTGTCCTAGGCTTAGAAAGTTAAAATATCCCTAAAATCACCCAGCTAGTTGTGGATAAAGCCAGAATTCAAACTTGGGCATTCTGGCTCCTAAGCTGTGCTCAGAATAGCTATTATATTGCATCTTAATTACTGGTGAGTTTATATATATATATATATATATACATACATATATATGTATATAGTATAATTGTATTTATATATACAGAGAGAGAGAGAAATGATCACAAGTCTAGTTAATATCATGGCCACACAGTTATAAATTTGTTTTTCTTGTGATGAGAACTTTCAAGATAATATTGTTTTAGCAACTTCTTTTTTTAAAAAGATGTATTTATTTATTTTAGAGCGAGAGCACAAGGGTGGATGGAGGAGCAGAGGGAGAAGGGCAGAGGGGAAGGAAGAAGGTGAGAAAGAGGCAGAGGGGCACCTGGGTGGCTCAGTCGTTAAGTGTCTGCCTTCAGCTCAGATCATGATCCCAGGGTCCTGGGATCGAGCCCCACATTGGGCTCCCTTCTCTGCGGAGAGCCTGCTTGTCCCTCTCCCACTCCCCCTGCTTGTGTTCTCTCTCTCGCTGTCTCTCTGTCAAATAAATAAAATCTTTAAAAAAAAAAAAAAGAAAGAGGCAGAGAGGAAGAGCAAGAGAATCTTCAGCAGACACCGCGCTGAATGCAGAGCCCAAAGTAGGGCTTGATCTCACCACCCTGAGATCATGACCTGAGCCAAAACCAGGAGTTGGCCACTTAATGACTGAACCACCCAGGGACCCCAACAACTTCTAACATTTTTAAATTGCTTGCACTTAAGTTATTTGGTCTTTACAACAGTGCTGCATTACTTTGTTTTATAAGTGACTATACTGAGGCTCAGAGAGAAGGTAACTTCCTCAAGGTTTTGAGTGGCCAAACAAGTATTTGAAATGCAAGTCTTCTGCTCATGTCTTTATGTTGCCTTCCTGCAATGTTTAGTATGCTTTTGTGATTAGTACTGAATAACTACACACACACACACACACACACACACACATTTTTAGTAATAGCTTTATTGAGTTATAATTCCATACCATACAGTTCTCCCACTTAAAGTGAACAATTCAATGTTTTTAGTGTATTCAGAGTTGTCCAACCATCACTACAGCCAATTTTAGACACTTTTATTTCTCCATTCTCTTCCCACTTCCTCAGGCCTAGGCAAC